AGAAAGAATGAATTATGAAAGACATTGATTGGTTACCCTTCTTTTTGCCTCTTGTAGGCTTCCATACGTTGTGAACGCAGCGCCGGTAGCGCCATCTCTTAACGAGGCGAGTGACTATTTTCTCTATGTTCATTATATGTGGGGCATGTAGATGTCGCCGCCATAACACGGGACGAGTTTACAAGCTGCCAGTGAACTCGCTGTAGGGATGTCAAAAGTTGAAAAAATATCGATATATCGATACATCGATCTTTTAAAAAAATAACAATATCGGCTTCGATATATCGCGAAAAAAACATCTATATATCGATATATCGGACCAATTTTCCCAAAAATATCGTACAGTATCTCACGTAATATGACACGCGGAATAATAATGGAACGAAAATTATCGCCCTAAAAATAGACCCTATTTTCGAATGATGACATAGACAATACTAAATACAGCACAGATCATAGATATGTTGAATATCATTAATCTGAGATTCAGTTACGATTTTTCCAGATACGAATTTAGTTAGATCGTGATATGCCGCTAATAATTAAAAAAATATCGTTTTTGATACGAATTTCGATATTGGTTATTTTGTATTGATGTATCGATATATCGAATCAAAATATATCGGCAAAAAATATCGATATATCGAACAAAAAATATCGATATATCGATACATCGATATATTTACAACAAGCCTAACTCGCTGGCTTGTAGCTTGTAAACTCGCTCCGTGTCATCGAGGCTTTACTGACACACCCGTGGGGAAATTGGGTTATGGCCCTAAGGGATTTACAGGCTTCCCTTAGAACGGGATGAGGCAGGCTTATTCAAATTTTGAAGGCTAATTTTTGTACGAAAGCTTAGTCGCGCAGGTATGGGAGAAGAATTAGACATCTATACCTCTCACTCATTGCCATGAAATTGAAAGAAGCCAGAAGGACGTTTTTATGTTATCTTTAAGGTTGGGCAACAAAGAGCTTCGCTTTGTGTCAAGGAGTTCTATTTTTGATTCGCTCGCCTGACAAAGTATCGTCGAATGCGACTTAAGTCACTTTCGACTTGCAAGTCGCATGATACTGATGTTCCGAATTTTTGTATCGTTCATCTACAGTGTTACCAGTTTAGTACAAAATATTTATTTTTATTAATTTCACGGAAAAAGATAAATAGCAGTCAGGCAGCAGACGGGACTCGAACCCCGACCTTCGCAATCCGGGCGAATGTACTGACCAATTATGCTACCACGTGATACTATCTTTAGATTTAAACATCAAGCAGTTACATGCTTTAAAAATAATAAAATTTATAACTATAATTGCTATTTCTTCTTTCAAATGTTTAATACTTGTAAAAGTATTCATTTGACATTGTGGGTTACCTATAATGCAAAGAGATGGCGCTGCCTTGCAGCTTAAGAGTGGCTAGAAGAATTTGGACGCGGTCCGTGAGGGCCGCGGTAGCATAATTGGTCAGTGCATTCGCCCGGATTGCGAAGGGTGCGGGTTCGAGTCGCGTCTGCTGCCTGGTCCGCGTGGATTTTTTTCTAGTTATATTTTCTTTAGATTTAAACATCAAGCAGTTACATGCTTTAAAAATAATAAAATTTATAAAAATCAGTTATTTCCGCTGTGAAAAATAAACGTATAATTCTTAATAACTGGTTATTTAATCTTTTGCTTTTTTGTAAGGAAAGATCAAAACGTCGCAACAAATCGTCATCTTATCTGTATTTAAAAAATATTGAGAAAAAATCTTGAAAATATCTGACATAAATTTTGCAATTATTTTACCATTCGCCTCCATCATTCGCCAACGCGCGCCAACGAGTGGTCGAGACCGCTCTTTTACGTTGAGCGATTCAAAAATACGGAATTTATTATGTCGAATCAAAATTAGTATAAATCGAGCGGTCGACGCAAGGTGAGTGATTCAAAAATAGAGCTCAATATGAGAAACAATCTAAAAAGTACTAGGAACATTTTTTGAGTAGATAGAGTCTACGGCGCAGTGCACGCCAGGACAGGCGCAGCGAAGATACCTACTGAGTAGCTAACAATTTAAGTTGAACCTTTAGATAAATAAAATATGCTCCGACTCAACTACATAAACAATAGGGTATTTGACAACTTTTAGAAAACGATCTCACGTTATTGACTAATGTTTATGGAGTTCGTAGAAAGTGGATTATGTGGATATTCATCATTCTGTTATGTATTTCCGTAAAAATAACCAAATCAAAAAATCCATTTTCAAGTTGCCGCGAAAACGTTTCTCTGGACAATATGGCGTCTTACTAGTGTGTGACGTCACACGACTGTTATTAAAACGTCGAACGATACAATGTAATGTCACTTTAACCGTGTGACGTCATTTTAGGCTCCGCCAATCCCAAGCGTTTTGGGTCACGTGACAATAGTTATCTTTTTCGTGGGTTTTTAGTAAAATTATTAATATTTTTTTTGTAAAAATAGTAAAAACCCCTGCCAATATTCATTCTAAATACAGATGATAACAATTGGCACTTTATTTTTTATACTGTCAAAAACCCTATTTTCACACATGCACACTTCTGTAAATTTTATATGCATTCAATCGAGCGAGCGAGACAGAACTGTACGCTTCAACGCAGTGCGAGCGAGACGGCGAGTCCGCGACAAACGGCGGAGCTGTATTCAGACCCTTCTTTCCCAGTGGGCACTTTGACCCCGGCCCCGCGATCGATAGGGCCCCCGTCAGATCAAATACAAAGTCTAAATCACCAAACGGGGGTCATAGGACCCATTATCCTAATATGCCCAAGGCCTCCAATAGGGCAAAGACGGCACAGGTATTGTTGTCCTTTTCTTGATAACAAATCTCGAATCAGTAAATAGCATTCATTCATTCCACAATTTTTGAGAAAAAAATGTTTTATAGTTTTACGAATGAAAAGTGTTGCCGTGAAATTTGTAATTTGACCTTGAACTATTTTTGTTCTTTATAGAAGCATCGAACGCATTGTGTTATCTTTAAAAAACGGAAAATACGTCACATTGGTGTCGATTCTGGCGTGATTCTCTAAACTTTAAACTAAAGAAGGATGCCCATTTGTGACCTGTCAAATCTGTAAAAAAATTTTGCATGTATAATTATGTGACATACCTCAAAAAAAAGGTAATTATTCGCTTATTACGAAATCAAAATATCAACAAAAACTACAATCCAGTTTTTTCAAAAATAATTTTTGAAAATAACCATTATGTAGGTACATATTTTGCTATCACACGAATGCATCCATTAGGGAAGAGTATTGTATCAAAGTAAAATGACATAATTATGAACGCAGCTTAAATGTAGATTCGCACTCTCCTTTCCAATGTTGCCAGCCATGCGGTAAATACCGTATTTAAATGGTAATGTAATACTTAAAAGGCATGGCTTTAATTTAAAGTTTCTTTCCGTTCTTAACAAAGACTGGCCATTTTCTTAGTGAAACATGACCGAAATAGTTAGGACTCCATCATCTCTTCGGCTGACTACATGAGAAGGAAATTCGTTCCGAAAAAATGTCAGCAATAATGACAGCTGCTCATAGTACCAATCATCTCAATTAATGGAAGGTATTGTAATTTTATTTTAGATTATTACCTACTTATATACTTGTCTACCAGAGATTTAAATAATACATAGTTAAATGTCTTAGATGTCTATAGATATAATTAGGTAAAGGTCAAGATTATCATTTATTCAGTCGCTTGCAGAAACTAAGACATTAAGTACCTACTATTTCAATAAAATAATTGAAACTGAATTATTGATTAAATATAAAAAAAAACTTGTTTAATTCCAAAGACAATATTATAAGGATGACACCTCAGCATGATACATGTTATGATATTAATCCTTTTTTCTTCAATCCTCAGATCAAGCTTCAATCAAACAAAACAAGCGAATTGAAATAAATACCTAGCTGGGCTAAGACACCACAGCTGTGACAGCACACAAATGAATAATCTTATGCTGGCACTTCACTTGGCTATTCATGTAAACTTGACTTCAGTCTGTCCTTTTCTTTCCTTAAAACATGATAAGGACAGACTGTTGTCAAGTTTACAAATAGCCAAGTGAAGTTCCGGCATTAGATAATCTATAATCAATCTCGTAACCACAGAGTAAGTAAATGACATCTTCAGCAGTTGAATAACCTCAGAATTAGTTTTCGTTATAACTTCTATTCCTCATTGCCAAATCAAACCAAATTAGCAACATTATTTCAGAAGATTGTAATAATTAGTTAACAACCTCAACAGTCAATATACATCCATAAAGGAAAAACCGAAGTGACAGGTTTTCGAATGTATGGGCAGTGGGCATTGTTCTTTAACATCAGTCTCTCTTTTTCATTCTGTATAGAGAATGACAAGGATACACTGTTCTGTTGTCAAATTAAGTTTAGGTTTAGAGAATCGTGCCAGAATCGACACCATTGTGACGTATATTCTGTGTTATTCAGTGCACATGAAGTGTGTTTTGTATCTTCTCTTTATGTTTTAATTTAAGCCGCGCCTACTATCTTCGTTGCACAACTCTCCTGTGGGTCAATTATGCTTCAGTAATAAAATTCTAATGTGATGTCAGTATGATGTTGATGCCAAGTTGACATTGTTTCTATATGGTATTATGAAACATTCCTATGTCACATCAAGATCATATCAATATCATATCCTGTATCACATTTTTGACGTTTATGCGATACTATTTTAAGTCAAAAAGTTGAACGTAATACGCATTTAAGTTGATATCATTTTATAGAGTTGATCATCATCATAGCATAAGTTGATGTCATTTTGATATCGCATTTTTCGGAGAGCATAATACGTAATGTGAAATAGACATCAAAACAATATCACAATTAGCGAGCATAATTGGCCTGCTGATGTGCGCTGCGCCTATGATATCACATCCATATGGTCGACATATTGAGAGGGATGGTCGTCATGGTAACGGATGTACGGTTTCATAGGACGAGGCCGCCGGCATGATGGAAGGCTTGCTGGACTTCGGCATCGCCGGCTTCAAGAAAGGCCTGCGGTTGACCGGCCTCAGTGATGACTCGCAGGTCAGTATGTATGATGACAACATTAAGGTACTTAAATCTAAAGAAAAGTTTTACTAGATAAAAATCCACGCGGACCAGGCAGCGAACGGGACTCGAACCCGCACCCTTCGCAATCCGGGCGAATGCACTGACCAATTATGCTACCACGGCCCTGATGGCCGCGTCAAAATTTTCCTAGCCTTAAGCTGCAAGGCAGCGCCATCTCTTCGCATTGTAGGTAACCCACAATGTCAAATGAATACTTTTTCAAGTATTAAACATAGAAGAAATAGCAATTATTATTAAGGCTAGGAAAATTTTGACGCGGCCATCAGGGCCGTGGTAGCATAATTGGTCAGTGCATTCGCCCGGATTGCGAAGGGTGCGGGTTCGAGTCCCGTCCGCTGCCTGGTCCGCGTGGATTTTTTTTTCTAGTAAAACTTTTCTTTAGATTTAAACATCTAGCAGTTAAAATATAATTAAGGTACTTTTCATGTAAAAAGATTGGCAAATGCTCATATGCCCCCCCTGATGGTAATCGTCCACCTAGCGTATGGATTTCTTCATGAGAGAAAATAAAATGGATAATTAATTTTATAATATTTTTATTTTTTAAGCATTTTTACTTCTAGATGTTTAAATCTAATGTCCAGGTAGCAGACGGGGCTCAAACCCACGCATTCCCCGCGGGGCGGGTGGACTGATCAATTATGCTGCCGCGACCTTAATGGTCGTGTCGAATTTTTTCTAGTATTTCTTTAAACATCTGACAGTTCAATGCTTAAACTACTTTATCATAATACAATAATATTTACTCCCCCCCCCCCACACACACACGCACACACACACACACACACACACACACACTCATACTCACACGCATACCTACATACACACACTCTCATATACACACAAACTGCCCATAATTAGTCGATGCTTACCTTACAAACCCTTAGAGTATCATTGTCTAGGTGTAATGTTTTCTGTAAACAATGGGGGCCTGGTGACCTGTAACACGGGTCTATGAACCTACACGGGCACCAGTCTCCCACGAATGACGACATGATTATAAAATTCGCCTAAGATTTTGTGTAAACCTTTTTTGTCATTTGTGGTGAGAAATAAAGTTATTTTATTATTGACGTGACAACGTCTTAAATTAGGTTGCGGCTGGGAGTCACTTATGAAAAAGTGTAACGCTCGGTAACGTTACGATGAGTCTCTCGTGTTAAGTTTAAGTTTACATGTACAATGTTTTAGTAAACAAAATATATTTCTATAGTTAAAATTTGTGCAATTCTTATTTTCATTCAATTCCTTGTTCCTATTGTGCAATTTAATTATATTCATATCAATAAATATTCTACCGAGAAAAAGACGTTGTCACGTAAAATCTTCGCCCGTAAAACCGACTTTACAGGCAACCATTTTTATTATTATTAATTATAATATATGTAATCAGTATATGTATTTTATCCGTTACCCTGGCATCCCATAACACGAGCCCCTACAGTGCTGATTTTGGAGCTAGGCTTATTGGTGTGAGTGTTGGAAATATTTATTTATTATTTACATATCTAGTCTCCCACTCACTGCTGCTCTATGCGGTTTTATTGCATGGTGTTTTAAGTTTAAACGTTTCCATTCTTTCGTTCTCCAAGGAGAAATCTCCATCGCATATGTACAAGGAGAAGAATGGGAGATCGTCTCCCCCAGAAGGCCGGGGCGGCAGGCCAGCGCCCGTTGAGGCCAAGGAAGCCATCACCTCTACTGTCATACAACGAGGTAAGCTGGGAGCTCAGTTTTGGGGGGCCTTAAATGTCGAACTTGGTTGAAAAAAAAACGACGGGTTGCACTCCGGGAGTGCCGGCAGAAGTGAAAACTTGAATATTAACGTTGTGCATTTTTGATATTTTGGAATGGTTAGGGAATAATTTTGCACGAATTGCTTTAATTATCAGTATAAAAGTATTATCACGTATGTGGTAGAATACAATATTTATTTATTGCGCTATCGTACACAAACATGACAATTTATAATGCATTAAAAAGTTTATCTCTCAGAAAAATCAACTTGAACAAAAATCAAACATGAATCACGTTTAAGCGCACCTAGCGACATCTATTGTAAAAGAAAATGCATTTTCTTCGCAATAAAGCTGCCACGTGGACGTCCTAGATAGAAACTTATAATTATAATACGATAAAATAAAATATTAGTATGTTTCGTCCAATATATTGAAAGTCAACAACCTATTCAATTTTATTGTGTTTCATGTTGCGCTCAGCCCACGTGTTTAACCTGACGCGAGTTTATCATTTTTTACCCATACAAAAAAAAACGTGTACAACGCTGCTAAAGAAGTTTTCACTTCAAAAATATGAATTCTCTAAATTGACACTAATGACCTTTCATGTAAGTGGCCATTTTACGCATTGTCATACATTTAACATATTGTTCTTTCCTTCTGCTATCCGCTTCTTTACATTTGTAAATCGAGCAGTTTCATGATTAAAATAACAATAGAATGAATTATATTTCATTTCATTTGATGAGTCATGAAATATTTTGTCATTATAAGATTTGAAAAACTTAAACGTAGTTAATCAAAATGTATGAACCATGCTAACTCGCTTATTTAGTTCTCCAACATAGCCGGATTTAAAAGTGTGGAAGTCCGTTAATCTGGGCCAGGCCACTAACTATTTGCAAAACCCCTCTCGCCCTGGTCGATATCTGTTTGGTGTATCTCTCTTGACGATATTAAATACCCTAGATACACCACTTGCGTTGAAAATATGTCCCAATCAAGAAGTGCTTGAATTAGACTCAAGCACTTCTTGGTTCACAGTCACGCGCGGACCGTTGAAACGACACGATGTCGCAGAGAAGATGTTAATATAACGCATTTGAAGTAAATTTTGTTCTAATACTTACTATAAACTGATTTAATAAATAATATTTGTGCTAACCGAATGTGACGGTGGGTTATATAGCCGTCTCTTTTCCTTGCGGTCCGTACCTGCTATATTGCTTACAGCACATTCAGAATTGCGCGTTGAATGAAAGACATAAGGTTTATATTCTTCCGCATATAGCAATAAGTCGTAAAATCTAATGAGCTTGCATTTTGAACTGTCATAAGTCTTTAACGCATGCATTTTAATTAAGACCTTATACAGTGTGCAATAAAGGTGACTTTTAATGTTTAAATAATGCCTTACATTGTTTTTGACAACGCCATCATCTTACGTAGCCCCGTGGGTCGTCCAATATACCATTTGGACAGTATTTGTCCACGATTTTGTTCGTGATGTTGTATCTAGGGTATTTAATATCGTTGCTGTTATATCTTGCCTGCCCTGCCTTATATCTGGTTGTGCCAGGACATACATTTCTCATCAATTTAGACAATACTATTACGTCACCAAATAAGATTATTGGTTTTCCTCAGACTACCTCTCCTTTCTCTCGTGGTATCAAAGCAATAGTACTTTCGTTTAAATTACAGAAGACAACGGCGTGACCAATGTCCCACCATTAGTAAAGCAGCATAGAGTCATATCTCAGGACAGTGTGGTAAGTTCAATTAATTAATTATATTAAGTAGATATGTATTGAAAACTTGGCTAAATGATGTTAGACCACCTATCATGTTTTTTGCATGCCGTTTTTTCTTTGGGCAATCAACCAAAAAATTACAAAGTTATAGCGCGTCAAAGTTTGGGAGTAGGGGCTCGTGACGTCACTTTTAAGTGAATATTCGCTTAAAAGTGTACTCAAACGTGACGTCATGCGACTTTTCAAATCAATATATCTCTGCAATGTTTATATTATGTGAAAAAAGAAAAAATACATGTCCAATCCTTTTTGATAATCTACCTGATAAACGAAGAAAAAAAATTAGTCATCATCCCTATTGCGTACGTGAAGTAGTCAAATATATTTTTCATTTATTTTAGTTCAGATATGAAACGCTCTCTCACTCGTTAAATTTAGCTAAATTCAATCTTTATGCCGTGACGACAGAACGAGAGGAATAAAGAATCAAAATTTAGAGTTTTTTTAATACTTTGCATTATATAAATTGGTGGTATTTGAAGGCTTCAGTAAAAGAAATAATTCCACATTACAGCCTCAGCCGCCTCAAGGGCGAATGGGATCAGGATCGATGCCAAGGGCGGGGCCAGTTATTCCAGGGGCGGGACCAGTTATTCCAGGGGAGGGGTCAGTTATTCCAGGGGCGGGGCCAGTTATGCCAGGGGCGGCAGTAGGGGTATCTCCGCCCCTGATCGGTCTGGCCGAATCCCCAGAGCCGGAGTACGAAGAAGCTGCAGACCTTTCGACAAGTATAGCCAAGCTGAGGTGTCTGCTGCAACGAGCGGAGACTAGTCCCAAGTAAACATCACTTTTATCATCTTTTTTGCTAAAGGATATTGGGCAAAAATGTATGGGCGCTACACCCACATCAGCCACTGTTTAAACAACATTTGTTTGAAAGGTATTATAGTCATGATCATCTGTGCCAAAGCGCATCAAATTCCATCCTGGGGGTCTTTAGTTATTTTAAGTTTAATAGGTACAATTACTATCACATTAATAATCAAGGGAATTAATTAAGTTAGTTCGACCCTACATAGAGGGCTCAGGTGGTGCCCCCTTATGATATTGTGCCGCGCTAGAGTAAATCCAAAAATCCATGCTTGGTTTGGGGTTTTTTTCGAACACCCTTTGCTATAGTAAATTATCTTCTACGTCAATATTTTTTTAACGGTGCCATAATAAAGAAGATTTCGATTCATACTGATTACATTCTTGGGTGGTTTTTGCCCATTGTCCTTTACTCGCCGCGTCTGTCCATATATCTGCTAATTCCTCTCCAGTGGCGGACTAACAGGGGGGCGGAAGGGGCGGCCCGCCCCCAAACGCCCAAACGCCTCCGCGTTCCCCTGATCAAATCCTAAACAAGACTTTAAAAATGTGCTTAGTACCTACATAATTTCATCAAGATCAAAACTACAGTAATCTAGACTTTTTACGCGGTAGGTACTAATATTATTTTAACTTTGCTGAACGCGTCCAATACGCTGGGGGAATTCCCGTCTTTGTAGCGGATACTTCCTCAGGAATCCCTCAGGAATTGGGCTATTAAAGTAATCAAAAATATTTTCTAAATTATTGAAACAAAGTTTATGCTAGAAACTTCAGATGACGCTCTGGCTGTAGGGTGCGGGTTCGAGTCCCGTCTGCTGCCTGGTCCGCGTGATTTTTTTTCTAGTTATATTTTCTTTAAAGAAAAATTTGTCGTCCAGGGCTGAAGAGGTATGGTGGGAGAGCCAACGGGCACATTCTTCGAGACCCATAGACGCCGCTACACTCGCTGGTAAGATATTCGATAGGTCCCGGGTTCAAATCCCGATGGGGTCAGATATTTGTGCGATGAATGCGAGCATTTGTACTCCAGTTATGAATGTTTAATATGTCATCATCATCAGCCTATGAATTTCCCCACAGCTAGGGCACAGGCCTTCCCTATGAATGGAATAGGGAGATTGGGCCATGGACTACGTTTCGCAGCCCTAAATTTTTTGGGACGCGAAGATAGCTGGTACAGCAGTTATAAACTGCTACACCAATCATCCTCACCTTGCCGGCCTGCAAAAATGCTTCTTCACGCCTCTCTTAAAGGACCCTCTCTTATAGGAAGGAGGGAACACTTGCGCGGGTAAAGAATTCCACTTACGAATAGTACGACAAAGAAATGAGTCACCAAATTTCTTTGTTCGTGTAGGAATAGTGGCCACAGTAAGTCGGTGGCAACGAAGGCCAGCGCGCGTGGTCCTCCGAAGAAAAGGTGATGGAGGGATAAGGGAGAATAACTCCTCAGAACACTCGCCGTGGTATAGACGACATCATCTACTTCTACATCCTTCCAATATCGCATCGTATATCTGTTTCGTCATTCTCTCATTAGACATTCTTTCCACATGCCCAAACCAACGGAGCATGCCTCTGTCAATCTTTACACCGATGCTGTCTATCACACCAACTCTTTTTCTTACTTCCACATATAATAAATAAAAATTCAAAAAATTCAAAATTCAATATCGTTTATTCAGTCTAGGCTGTTACAAGCACTTGTGAATGTCGAAAAGCTACGCCATCGGTTCGTAAATCTACGGCGGGAGACCTTGTACTGAGAAGAACCGGCAAGAAACTCAGCAAGGGCTGTTTTTTTCTCCCTGTATTGTATACAGAGTCGTCAAATTGAAAAATGATTTCAATATGAGGTAACTCATAAAGTCACTTTCCATTACAAATGCAAATAATATAAAAATTATGACTATATAAAAAACTAGTTTAACAAAGTTTAGGAATGACGTGTCCTGCTGTTTAGGCAAAAAAAAAATAAAAATAAAATAATGATAGATTCAATCAATAGGGAAGATGCAATATTTTTATTTTTGTTTTCAGTTTAAAGAATTCCATGTAGAATAAACCACAGATATATTAAAAAATTAAAACATTGTGATTTATCGGAAAAAATGCGGTTTTAAATTGACAATTTAAATTTTCGCGCGAAAACGAACCTATGGTTGCGATGACGTCACTCCTGTCTGTCACTGGTCGTAATTGTTCGTTGCTGGGTTTAAATTTTCATACTTTTGCATATTTTTTCGACTCTCGAAATATTTTTTTGAAAAATTTAAAATTGACACTATCCATCAACATCATGTGATCATAACAATACCACTAATATTCCGAAAAAAAGCAGTGTTGACTCATGTTTTGTGCCAATCTACTTCAACAAAGTTCCCAAATAAATTGTTTTTGACTGGAACTTCTGACCCAAAACTGAAAAAAAGTGGTTTCAAGCTGCGAAGAGATGACAATTATTCTCCAAAGACCATTATTCGATGCTGAGAAGATCACTTTGACGTAAGTTGGCGAATATACTTGTTATCTGCTTAATTAATCTGCTTGTACGTAAAAACGCATTAGTAACCTACCTAATACTTACAAAACCTGTCTAGAACATATTTTTAATTTTACATTTGGAGAATGACGTTGAAAATTAGATAAAGTTTAAAATGTGTGGCACAATCTTCACATTGGCAGGACTGAACCAAGCTTTGCGTTTCATTTAAAATAACTGTAACACGATAACCTTCTTTACGTAGTTTATGCTCCGGAGAACTCGACCTTTTACTGTACATAATTTTCCATCTCTTTTAATTTGGACATAGCCGATTGCATTATCGCCGTAAGATTTGTAGAAGCCGCTGAATAAAATACGAATAAACTACGATTTTTACATACCGTAGTAATATAGTCCCTTTCATTTCTACACTTAAAAACTCTGCACTTTGGACAAAAAAAGTTATAACCATGTCAACGCTAACTCTTGGTAAATTCCTGGAGTCTGCTTTGATAAACGCAACTTCCATTTTTATTAAATGTAAAAAAACGCAATAAATATTGCCATAAAATAATATTTACTTTAACAACCATAACCTCAAAGAAGTTGTCATTACAGGAGTGACGTCATTAAACGCTGATTGGTGTTTTAAAATACGTTCCGTTTCAAGTATTTTTAATTCGTAATAATTGTTAAAAAACAACATTATGTAAAATAAAAACGTTGCAGTGGCATTTCTTTTATATTTTTTTAACATTTTAATCATAAAATTTTCATAAATATTATATATGCATCTTCCCTATTATTAATTGATTATGATTATTGTAATATATTCTATTCTTTTGTGAATAATAGTGATAATTACATTTATTTTCTTAAGAAAAGTTTACTAGAAAAGAATCCACGCGGACCAGGCAGCGGACGGGATTCGAACCCGCATCCTTCGCTATCCGGGCGAATGCACACTGACCATTATGCTACCACGGCCCTATTAGCCGCGTTGAAATTTTCCTAGCCTTAAGCTACCCACACTAACACTAAGCTAACCCACAATGTCAAATGTTTTTTTTTTCTAGTAAACTTTTCTTTAGATTTAAACATCTAGCAGTTAAATGCTTAAAAAATAAATAAAATCATTTATTTTCTTTTTATTTAGAGGTTAAATTTGACATTGACAGCTAGCTGCTGTAGACAAATATTGCCGGACTACGTTACCCAATTATGAAACACAGTATACAACTTTGGCACAAAATGCCGGGTGGACTTTTCTCTGCTACCACCTTACCCTATTTTTATGGCGGTACTAAGTTCGCTGGGTCAGCTAGTAAACTATAATATAAGGTTTACTCAAGGGGCCGTTCATAAAATACGTTCGCATACAAGGGGGGGGGGGAGGGGTCTTGCTAAGTGTGACAAGGGGGGACGGGGGTCTACGGCAACGTGACGTTCGTCGTTCATTAAATTTTTTTAAATTAGTATTTCTTTCAACTATTTTTCTTTCTCAATTTTCATCAAGATAGAAAATCATTTATTTCGTATTTAGTAAACATATAGACATTCAAACGTATATAGTTTTATTATACAATAAATTGTAACTTGATATATTGACTCATGTTTATTTTTCGACATTAGCGCATATTTATATATTTAAATTTTATTATAAAAACTAAATAAATATTTAAATTCTAAAAATTTGTGTACTATCAATTGAAATTAATCATACTTGGGGAGGGGGGGCTCTCCGTTTTTGTGACGGAATATTTCAAGAGGGGTCACAGAAAGTGTGACACAGCGTGACAATAGGGGGGGAGAGGGTCGGAAAAAGCTGATTTTAGCGTGACGTATTTTATGAACGGCCCCCAAGTAAAGGTGTTTTTCTTTAATAACGTACAGATGAGTACGACATGAACGCGGAGAGAAACGCTTCCCCCGGACAGACCTCTAACAACATGCAGCGACTAGACAAGTAAGTATTAAAAAATAAAAAAAAAAATTAAAGTTTATCCCTTAAAATATAAAATTTTAATTTAAATTAATTAATAAAAAAAAAAAAATAGTGTGCTTATGACCACAGGACTGAAGTGAAATTTCTTTAGCTGCATCTGTACGTATATCTTATATATAGAATTCTCGTGTCACGGTGTGCGTAATAGGGTATTTGACAGTATTCAAAATAAAGTGCCATATGTTAGCATCTGTGCATGTTTAGAACGAATATTGGTAGGGGTTTTTACTATTTTTACAAAAAAAAAAATATTCAAAATTTTACTAAAAACCTACGAAAAAGATAATAGTTTTCTTATTTATTGTCACGTCACCCAAAACGCTTGGGATTGGCGGAGCCTAAAATGGCGTCACACGCAAGTAAACTTCCGGTTAAAGTGACATTACATTGTATCGTTTGACGTTTTAATAACAGTCGTGTGACACACTAGTAAGACGCCATATTGTCCAGAGAAACGTTTTCGCGGCAACTTGAAAATGGAGTTTTTGATTTGTTTATTTTTACTGAAATACACAACAGAATGATGAATCCACTTTTTAAGGACTCCATAAAAATTTGTCAATCACGTATGATCGTTTTCTAAAACTTGTCAAATACCCTATTGAACTACTCCGAATGAATCCGGCTCGACCGATTTTCGTAAAATTTTATTTGCATATTCAGTAGGTCTGAGAATCGGCTAACATCTATTTTTCATCCCCCTAACTGTTAAGAGTGGTCCAACCTTAATTTTCTTTTTAACAATTTTTTGTTTTTATTTTTTTAATGATACATCATACAAAAATACATACAACCCTAAATTTTCACCCTTCTACCACCAACTCCTATTTTTGTATGGTGGTACGAAGTTCGCTGGGACAGCTAGTATATATATATATATATGTGTGTGTGTACAATATATACATGTATGTACATATACAAATTTCATTTACTAGCTATAAGATAAAGAGAGAAAGAAAATGTACTCTCTTTTGCTTATATCCCCCACTCAACTCCCGTTCGCCTCGCCCGAACATACTTTTCGTAACGCGTAACGCCTTCGCCAGCTTACCCCCCAAGTCGAGCGTGCGTAAAGAAGTTTGACTTCAAAATTCGATGTATATTTGTTTGCTTGCTACACAGAACAGATTTTAACAGAAATAAATACGATAAACAGGCTGTTCCAGCGCACTGTAACGGGGGTGTTCAACTCCATCAAGACGGCAGTGGGGGCGGAGGGGGAAGTATTCCCCCACTCCATGAACGACTGGACTTATGTCACCACCTCCATTGAGCTGAGCGTGAGTTTCAGTGTAGATATACACCGTGTTCCTGAGGATATACATTAACTTTGAATAATACTTCTATAGCTCTTGTTAAACATATCGTACAAAGAAAGTAGTAGTTTAAATAGCATAGTTTTTAAGTTATCAGTAATTTAAGTTTAACAGGCTAGTTGACCCTTTTTGGAAAAAGGTTTTAGATGGTTAATAAATGTTCTATTAGACCGATAAAAAATGTATTGTATTTTTTTGAGTCCTAGAAAGCTACAAATCTTTAATTTTAAAATAGACTTTTCATGGACATACAAAAACGCTGTCGGCCATTTTAGTCTATAGATTATCTATGCTATGACGTTGACGGTAGTAAACAAAAACTCGTAAGCACGTAGAAAATAACTTAACTTGAGTTTATAATAAAAAGAAAACATGATTTCTAATAGGTACCACGAAAAATATAGTAATTATCATTATTGTATTGTACGAGAATGTAAAAACACATCCTTGAAGACTCCAGGAAAGTTGTGGATTAAGGTGCCGATAGAAATTAACCTACGCAATACCTGGTTAGAACTTGCTAAAAGTGATCCTGCAACTTTATCGACTCATAGTAAAATTTATTTATGGGAAGATCACTTTGATGTAAGTACTCATTGAATAATATTTTAAGTCTCTTCATTTATTTTCAGTTTTAATAATACAAGTTTTAAATCTAAAGAAAAGTTTACTAGAAAAAAAGTGGATTTTTTTCTAGTAAACTTTTCTTTAGATTTAAACATCTAGCAGTTAAATGCTTAAAAAATAAATAAAATCATAACAAGATTTAAAGTTATTTATGAATGACATATAATTGTTTACTTAAAGAGACGTCACAATCATAGCGGATGTGGCGAACAGCTTTTTAAACACTAAAAAAGTGTTTAAAAAGTATAGACTAAAATTTTTTTGAAGTTATACTTCTTTAGGCGCGTTATGAAAAAATGATGAGAGTGAAATTTTAAGATGCGCGCGTATCACTGTAACACAAAATTTTAACAGCATGAAGTTGGTTGAACAACTTCATGCTGTTACTTTTGTGTTTACCGCACATAAAGAAAATCTACCAACAAAATAGAAATAGAATCTCTATTTAGTGGGTGCTAACGACTGCATTGTGAAGGAAGTATTTATTAATCTGAAACAACGGAACCAAAGCGCGATTCAGGAGACTACAGCGCCATCTCTTGACCATTGGTGTAGTAGAACCAAAAACCACATCTTTATTTTTTGTAATAAAGTAACAGTTATAGGTATTCATATTTATAATATTTATCCACATGTTTCTAGTTTGTATATTCTGAATACGTGTTTGAGTTTCATACAAGTGCAAATCACATATGTTCTAATAAATTATATTCAGTAGCGATTTTAATTGAATATTTTGATTATTTATTTATTTTTTCAAATTAAAACTGAACTTTATTGACACAGTCTTTTCCAGACTTTTTATTAATTTATTGTAATTAATTATTTGCATGCAATTAAAAACTAATTTTAAACGATGCCAAAGAAGGATAACTTCTCACGCGCCTACATAAGTACATGCACCCATTTTTTTTTAATTAAATTTCTACAGCAATCTTCTGCTTTTATGAAGTGAAATCGATATATTTAGGTTCCTTAGACCGAATACTTTAAGAAATAAACATTTATTTAATACAATTCGACATGAGTCAACTAGCCTATTGTGTTGTGCAGTGAGAAAGAGTCTTTAAAAAACATTGTTGGCGTCAAGAAAAGTTTCAAAAACTTTATGTGGACATGTGGACCAAAGTTTCAAATGCGACGTCGCCAGCTCAGGTAAAGAGTAATTCATATTAGATAAATTACAACTAAGCATTTAGTTTGTATGAAAATAAAAAATATTAAAGAAATTGGAATTCATAAAAGTGTCCATAGTAAAAAATGATCAATTTAATAGTCTGAATAACATGCCAAAGTTAGCGTAGAACCTCAGGAACACGGTGTATAGATAGAACAACACGCACAAATATAAAACTGACAAAAAATATTTGTTTCTTAGGTTTTCACGCACATCACTCATTAAATAAAACTAGTTTTTACGGGTTAATGCACGAAACTTTATTTATTTATTGACGTTTCGCAGCCTTTTCAGGTCTGCATCGTCAGAATAATGATTTTTTATTTAAATAAATTATCTTATTATTATTTAAATAAAAAATCATTATTCTGACGATGCAGACCTGAAAAGGCTGCGAAACGTCAATAAATAAATAAAGTTTCGTGCATTACAAACTAGTTTTATTTATCTGACAAAAAATATTAAATTTTGGATGTGAAACATCTTTTAAGAGTTTTTTACCAACCCTTATCAAAATTTTACCCTAGGTATTTTTTAAATTCCCCTAAAATCCCCTAAATATAGAAATTTATATGTACCTACTTATCTTATTACCTTAATTCTTTCGTTGCTCATAAATTAAAACGTTACATATTTAGTAACAGTAAATTATTTTATTGAATACATACATTTTCCGAATGGAAAATCAAACGAAAATGAGCTGACAGGCTGTTAAATCTTATTTAGCTGTTTTGATTGGTGGAAGGCAAAGAACTTTAGTCCATACAGCCTTAGGAAACATCTGCCACACAGTCAGTTCAGTCGTTTCATATCGTGGTGCGTTCCATTCTACGCAAAAACTGAACGAAAACACGCTTTGTTTTTCGATTTAATTGCAAGTTATGTTAAAAGCCCCTAAAAGAACCCCCAAAAAATTCCAGCCCCTAAAAAAGTCCGTTTTTACCCTTCTAGCCCCTAAATCTGGGGACAAAACCCCTAAGTTGGGAACCGTGCGAGCAGTTGAGCACTCGTAAATATTGTTTACTGGCGACACACGCCAGAAATTGGATTTACGTGCATCAAAAGATGCTTCACATCAATAATGGACATAGTGTTTCTTATAATTTGTTATTTTATGGGTATTAGTCATTTTTCGTAACAGTAATATAGTACCTATCTAATGCCGCTTCCTATATACTAAATATAATGTTAACTATAAACTTTATTGTGACTATATATCTATATTATAAATGATGTAATGGTAGGTGACTTTTTCAACTTGACGACTCTGTATATAACAATACAGGGAGAAAAAAAACAGCCCTTGCTGAGTTTCTTGCCGGTTCTTCTCAGTACAAGGTCTCCCGCCGTAGTTTTGCGAACCGATGGCGTAGCTTCTTGACCTTCACAAGTGCTTGTAACAGCCTAGACGGAATAAATGACTTTTCATTTCATTTCATTTCAATATTAATAAAATCGTTAGGTGGGTGGGGCAGTGGCCCGCCTGGTGGGGTCCCGGCGCGCGCTGGGGCACGTGGACGCCGCCCTCGACTCCTTGCACCATATACCACGCGCGGACCTAGCGCCGCCCGTCCCCGACGATATAGGTGGGTATATAGCGAATTCGGTGTCAATAGGGGTGATGACGGGGTACAGTAAACGAAATTCCATTTAGTCCGTCAGTTAGATGATCAAAAAATAATTGACACGTATTTTTTCTTTGGGCAATCGACCAAAAAAATGACAAAGTTATAGCGCGTCAAAGTTTGGGAGTAGGGGCTCGTGACGTCACTTTTGAGTGAATTTTCGCTTATAAGTGTACTCAAACGTGACGTCAAGCGACTTTTCAAATCAATATATCTCTGCAATGTTTATATTGTGTGAAAAAAGAAAAAATACGTGTCCAATACTTTTTGATAATCTACCTGATAAACGAAGAAAAAGAAAGACATTTCTCTGAACCTAAACTTGAATTTGACAATAGTGTATCCTTGTCATTCTATGTTATGAGAGACTGATGTAAAATTTCGTTTGAAGTTTAGAGAATCATGCCAGAATCGACTCAACGTCAATAAATTATGTTAATTTCGTTTTATATTTAGTAAATTATGCCAGAATCGACACTAATAAATGTATAGTCATTGGCTGTCTATAACATGGAGGTTAGAGATATTGAGAACGATAGCTGTAGAAAATAGTGTCCCAGAAATATGGACAGAATAAGTGAGGCGCTGCGGTCGCTAAGTTGTCTTAATGAAAGCGGGTTAATTTGAAATGAACAATGCCGCGAAGAAAATTTGTACAATATTCAACTAACTTCATCTAATTAAAACTAGTAATAATTTCTATTATTTTAAAGCATGTAACTGCTTGATGTTTAAATCTAAAGAAAATATAACTAGAAAAAATTCCACGCGGACCAGGCAGCAGACGGGACTCGAACCCGCACCCTTCGCAATCCGGGCGAATGCACTGACCAATTATGCTACCGCGGCCCTCACGGACCGCGTCGAAATTCTTCTAGCCATTCTTAAGCTGCAAGGCAGCGCCATCTCTTCGCATTATAGGTAACCCACAATGTCAAATGAATACTTTTACAAGTATTAAACATTTGAAAGAAGAAATAGCAATTATAGTTATAATTTCTATTATTTTAAAGCATGTAACTGCTTGATGTTTAAATCTAAAGAAAATATAACTAGAAAAAACTTGTAATACTTGTAAAAGTATTCATTTGACATTGTGGGTTACCTATAATGCGAAGAGATGGCGCTGTCTTGCAGCTTAAGAATGGCTAGAAGAATTTCGACGCGGTCCGTGAGGGCCGCGGTAGCATAATTGGTCAGTGCATTCGCCCGGATTGCGAAGGGTGCGGGTTCGAGTCCCGTCTGCTGCCTGGTCCGCGTGGAATTTTTTCTAGTTATATTTTAATTAAAACTAGTTTTAACGGGTCAATGCACGGAATTTATTTATATATTGACGTTTCGCAGCCTCTTCAGGTTTGCATCGTCAGAATAATGATTTTTTATTAACTTTGTCGAGCTACCTTCGAAAGACTTTTATTGACCTGAAAAGGCTGCGAAACGTCAATAAATAAATAAACTCTAAAGACTCCAAAAGGTTCTTGGTTCATTTGTGGGTCAAGGTATATGTTAATATAATAAAATACCAAAAGAAATAATTAATTTACCTTTTAATAAGTTTAAAGTGTGTATAAAAACATGTCTCCTTAACAAAGGTTACTATACTGTAAAAGATTTCATAAATGATAAGTCACCTTGGGCTTAACATAATAGACTGTCGTTTTACTTTGCTAATTTGGTTGAAAATTGTTTAATCGCCACTTCTAAATTTAAAAATAGTACCTAGTTATACTTAACTTTTGTTAATTAATAATATTAATGTGATGGAAGTTGACATCAACACATGTATTCAATTTTTGATGTTATCTTTCAATTGACGACACTGTGTGAAACAAAACAGGGAGAAAAAAATAGCCCTTGCTGAGTTTTTTGCCGGTTCTTCTCAGTACAAGGTCTCCCGCCGTAGATTTATGAACCGATGGCGTAGCGTTTGACTTTCACAAGAGCTTGTAACAGCCTAGACTGAATAAATGAGTTTGAATTTAAATTTCGTGCATTGACCCGTTAAAACTAGTTTTATTTAATGAGTATATTGCGTGAAAACTAAAGAAACAAATAACTTCATCTACTTTTACTCATCAGCTAACTTCACAGATACTACTTACCGACGGCAGTGCAGCTGGTGGCTGAAAAATTAAATATAAATTCTACAATTTTTCAGGGACAGATGGGCTAATGCTTTAGTACTCTCTAACCTCCATGCTCTATAATGTCATGACACATGACGAAACCTTAGTGTACTGCTTTGGTCCCGAAAAAAAAATATGGGTGCGTGTACTTAAGTACGCGCATGAGAAGTTATACTTCTTTTTGGAATTATTAAAAAATAGTTTTTAATTGCATGCAGATAATTAATTACAATAAGATAATAAAAGGATAGTCAACGCAGTCAATAAAGTTCAGTTTTAATTTGAAAAATTTAATAAATAATCAAAATATTCAATTTAAATCACTACTGAATAAAATTTATTAGCACATATAAATTTCGCATTTGTATAACATTATAACACGTGTTAAGAATATAGAAACTAGAAACATGTGGATAAATATTATAAATATGAAAACAGTGATCAGAGGCGACGAGCGTCCCAACATGTGCGACTAAGAGATCCTATTATTATTTTGTTGGAAGCTTTTTTTCGAGACTTACGAGTAATGTTCGGTTTAGCGGCCGACTTCATGTTACTTTTCTGTTACAGTGTTGCGCGCGCATCTTAAAATTTCACTCTCATCATTTTTTCATAACGCGCCCGCGACGTAACTTCATTATGTTACTTTTGTGTTACAGTGATGCGCGCGCATCTTAAAATTTCACTCTCATAATTTTTTCATAACGCGGCTAAAGAAGTATAACTTCGAAAAAGCCTTTCTGCAGTGGTTTCATTTTGAAGATTTACCTCGCATTGGTAGAAAAATGGTTAATTCTTTTTTCGGTACATCGGAAAATGAGCTCATCCGTGCTTCGGATAGCAGGTTACCCGCCAGTACCTACTGCTTCTGCAGTTATTAGCACATGCCAATCCGCACTGAATGGGTGTAGGAGGTTAGCAATACATTTAGCAGATTCGACTTTGCATTCAATATTATTATCGCAACTAAAGGATTATACCTATAGATCACAGGCGTAGAGTCCATTTTCTATGTCTATAAATCCTTTAGCACTGCCATTCAAACGAAAACTCAAAAAAGAGATAGAAATAATCAGCGTATAAAGAATACTTATTTTGAGTAATTTCTCACACATACAGGTTGTTACAAAAATACAAATAAATTTGAAGGGAGTTGAAGTACACCATATTTGGAGTCTTCTCTAAATTACTTAAAATATTTGCATGAAGTTTTAACTTTTTATAAAAACAGTTATTTTTAATGATCCTCGAATTAGTGACGTGTCTTAAAAAAATCGATATTTTTAATAATCATTAAAAATAACTGTTTTTATAAAAAGTTAAAATTTCATGCAAATATTTTAAACAAATTAGAGAAGATTCCTTATATTATGATGTACTTCAACGCCCTTCAAGCTTTATTTGTATTTTTGTAACAGCCTGGTATATCTTTAGCTCGCAGTTTAAATTTTGAGCCATCTGTGAAACTTTAATGAAGTACCGTCAACGAGAAGCGATACAAAAGTTCATTGACCTTAGACGAGACTGCGTGTGTGATCTAAAGTTCAATAAATAATCTCACGTGGTAAGCTCATCAAGCAGCACAAGCGGAGCTTATTTCCTTTGCTCATATTGCTTGCTTGAGTATCTATGAAGCGGCTTAGCACGAAACTTTCAACCGTAAGATTTATCGCCTTAAGTACGGCCAACGAGAAGCGATACAAAAAAATAACTATTTTTGAAGTTATACTTCTTTAGGCGCGTCATGAAAAAATGATGACAGTGAAATTTTAAGATGCGCGCGCATCACTGTAACACAAAAAATTAAGAGCATGAAGTTGGTCGCTTTAGTGACCAACTTCATACTTCATGCTGTTACTTTTGTGTTTACCGCACATTAAGAAAATCTACCAACAAAATAGAAATAGAATCTCTATTTTGTGGGTGCTAACGACTGCATTGTGAAGGCCTATCAAAAATATTTATTAATCTGGAACAACGGAACCAAAGCGCGATTCAGGAGACTACAGCGCCATCTCTTGACCATTGGTGTAGTAGAACCAAAAACCACATCTTTATTTTTTGTAATAAAGTAACAAAAAGTATTTATTTTATTGGTAAAATGGTTAATGTTTTTTTTCTTTCTCGATTCTAACTATTTGAACTCCTTTATATGTTTAATATTATAGTGGAAACTATACTGATGTATGTTTATGATTTTATTTATTTTTTAAGCATTTAACTGCTAGATGTTTAAATCTAAAGAAAAGTTTACTAGAAAAAAATCCATCCATTTTTCTAATGCTTAAAAAATAAATAAAATCATAACTATGATTGAAAGAAAGAAAGAAGAAAGAAAGAAAGAAAAACATTTATTGGTTGCACAGCATACATACATTGAAAACAAAACAGATTTGAAAGAACATAACAACAAAGAAAAAAAAAACAAATAATAATAAACAAAAAAAAACAAAAAAAGACAACTAAACTAATCTGCTGGTGTTGCTGTGCAGGGCCAACAGGTCGCTGTCTCAGCTATGCTACTGTGGTAGTACTTTCGCAATACCACAGCAGCGCTGATTTTCAGCCAGCGCCTTATGACGTCCGAACGCCAAACAAAATGCTATGATTTAAAAAAATAAAATAAATAAATATCATTTCATAAAATAAACAAAGATAATTATTAATCAAAATATGATAAAACTAAGGCAGAACTACACTTTTCCGACTTTTTTTCTCTTGTGGTAACAGCCTAATCTGTGCCTTAGTTAATCTATGGCTGTCACTCCGTCACTTTTTTCATGCATGGACTTTCCGGTTAAAATTCTATTCGTTATCTTCTATTAAATCATTGATTTGATTGCTATTTCTTCTTTCAAATGTTTAATACTTGAAAAAGTATTCATTTGACATTGTGGGTTACCTACAATGCGAAGAGATGGCGCTGCCTTGCAGCTTATGGCTAGGAAAAATTCGACGCGGCTAATAGGGCCGTGGTAGCATGATGTATGTTTGTTAATTAGATCTAGGTATAAGTATTTTTTCATTGTTTATTTCCCAAATAAAGATAAAATAAACAATACTTCTCTACCCCTAGCACGAACCAATATCGAATTCGTATCGTTTGCGAGTCCGAAATGTCATTTTAAATTATGTACTGTACCCCTAGCGCGAACCATTATCGAATTCGAATGGTTTGCAAACCGAAATGTCAATGTCAAATTTTGTATGGAAACTTGAACAGCAGCGGCACAAAGTACGTAACGAGAAAATGAGGGCTATCGCGTATGAATCCGCCGCTAGAGGCGCTAGTGTAGCGTGAGGTCTCCGAAATGTCAAATGTTATTGCTTGTTGGTTGACTACGCGGGTTTATTTCTAATTAAAATAATGTTGTGAATAATTGGTAAGAATTCGGCTTAATTATGGCAAATATGAGTTATGTGGCAATGAATGTCAGTTATTAAAAATTTGAGCCTATAAAAATGGTTATGTTCCCATTTTTTTCGAATAAATCGGAACTGCGCGTCACTGTGGCATGGCCTATTATGTTTAGGATATGGTTCTTTTGTGTTAAAATACGATCTAAATGTAAACCTAACCTTTGATTTCATGTGCGTATTAATAAACTTTAAAAGTTACAATTTGGGACCTCACTCAACAGTGGCGCCATCTGGTGAGACAGAAAACGGTAGCCCTCATTAGTACACATTTGACAATGACATTTTGGACTCGCAAACTCGATTGATATGAATTCGATATTGATTGGTGTTTACTGAAGTCACCTTCTATTAAATCATTGATTTGATTGTTATCAGAGGAATGGTGTGCCAGTATGGGCAGTGCGTGGAGCGCCGGCAGTGAGTTAATAGCGGCCGCTGCACTCTGTGCCACACACTGTGCCCACCGCCTCGCTACGCTGCTGATGGGGGGTGAGACAACACTTTTAACAAACACCCCACACATATTTAACACTGAAAAAAAACTGGCTAAATGTGAGTCGGACTAGAGCATCGAGGGTTCCGTACAAACTCAATTTAAAACCTCTTCGCGTTCATAGGAAAACACCTTTAAAATTTTCAAAAATATTTTTTATTATTGAAAAATTGCGATAACCGTAAAGGAGACCCGGCACTTTTCATAGAAAAAATGCTAAACTTGTATACAGTTGAATTTGGTCTCGAAATAAAGCCAAAATTATTTGCTACATAAAACTACTTTTGCCTTATTTTTAGTGAATCGTGGAAAGAAGTTATATAATGATTAATATTTTTTGATATGGAAACCCTAAATCTTCAAGGGACAGAATTTTGCCTCAAAATATTACTCAAGTGACTGTACAAACCATGATTCCTTTGCTTTTTCTAAATAAAAAACCAAATGTCAATTTGACAATTCTAAAATACAAACAAAAAATCATTCGCATTTCGCATCCGCTCCCGCGTACTGTGATTGTGAATGTTCTCTGCTATGATTGCCTTTTTATCCGTTATTTCTCTTGACGACCCGGCTACATATAGAGGTTATATTGACAAACCTACGTATTTGACATTGACAGCTAGCTGCTGATGACAAATATTGCCAGACTACGTTACCCAATTATGAAACACAGATAAAAAAATTAAAAAAGTATACAACTTTGGCACAAAAGCCGAGTGTCCTTTCAGTTACATGATGTATAATACGATTCAACTAAGAATAGGACCGACTGGGCGCCATATTTTGACGTCATAGCTGTTAATTCAAACAGAGAATAGGTAGAGTGAGCAAAAAAATTTTCCTCTTTAATAAAAAATATTTACTAAGATTAAGTGAGAAAAAACGTCACATTTTTTTTAATAATATCAATTTACTAAGGTTGAGAAAGAACTCAACCGTTTTTAATAGTATTTGCTTTATTAAGACTGTGTGAAAAAAAAAACATTAATCAGAATCTAGCTCTTCAATTTCGCTCATCTCTGCATTACCGCCGGAGCAGTTATGAATAATCATGCAGGTCACATACGAACATGCATCCTATATGTAAACGAACGTTTTAAATCGAGTTTCTGAACGCAACATAAAGTGACAGTTAGTTGACGATTTAGGCTATCAACCATTCAAAGCCAATACTTAATAAGTGAAAAAAAAAAACAAATAATATTAATTATCAACATTTGTTATTGTTTGTTTAAAAATGTTTGGTTTTAATTCTAGAATCAGCTCAATGCTAAAAAAGTGTTTCGAGATTTTTTTGCTAACCGTACTTTTCAAGCGACATTTGACAGATGGAGTTCATTGGCTTTCCCATTCTTATTTGAATCTCATTATAACTAAAAGTTTATGGTTTTCGCAATATTTCCTTTATCTGTTCTATAAGACGTTACTTCGTACCAAATTTCAAGATTCTAAGTTCACGGGAAGTACCCTGTAGGTTTTGATTCCCGTGCGAGTTTCGAAGCGATATAAACGGCTGTATCTTTTGATTGCTTTGGCTTAGAAATTAGATTTTTTCACAGCTCGAAGGGACAGTAGACTTGAGTATTTATTAGATATGAATTTCAGTTTTATACCTCCACGCGTTCCTGAGAAAAACGGTCTTGACAGACGGACGGACGGACGGACGGACAACAAAGTGATCTTATAAGGGTTCCGTTTTATCCTTTTGAGTTACGGAACCCTAATAAAGCAAATTTCGCAATGGTCGGTCATGGGATGGGTGACCGAAGACTTATTATCGTGAGCTCCTTCGCGCTTCGAAAGATACGTTAGCTGTGCCGGCCGCATCTGCAGTTGTTAGTACCCATTGATCCGCAGTGGGTCACGCCCCAGTCTCTCTGTCCCGTCCATTGACTCCGTATAATAGGGTCACCTATGACTTATAAAAGAAAAATATTTTATATAACTAGAAAAAATTCCACGCAGACCAGGATAGAAAAGTAGAGATGGCGCTGCCTTGCAGCTTAAGAATGGCTAGAAGAATTTCAACGCGGTCCGTGAGGGCCGCGGTAGCATAATTGGTTCAGTGCATTCGCCCGGATTGCGAAGGGTGCGGCTTCGAGTCCCGTCTGCTGCCTGGTCCGCGTGGAATTTTTTCTAGTTATATTTTCTTTAGATTTAAACATCAAGCAGTTACATGCTTTAAAATAATAAAAATTAAAAAATATTTTATTTCAAAATTTGTCTAGAACTAGTGGAAGCGTTGATGACCGTATGGCTGGACGATCTGAGCGCGTGGCTGCGCTCGCAAGTGTTCGTAGTATTCGAGCGAATGTCTGAAGGGGGTGACGTCATGCCCGGGAACGCTGCTCTCGAGCCCGACTTGGAGAAAACCTGCGCCGCCATTATGGACAACATGCCTACTGGTAAGGGAGTTGACATCGTTTAACTTTATGTATTAATTTATTTAATTAATATTCCAGGAAGACATAAAGAAGTCGTTTGCACACTTAAAACTTGAAAAGGGTATTGGCAATGGATGTGTACAGTATTGAGGAGCTTGATGGTGCAAGTGGTAAGCGCGTTCGGCTGCGATCGTTGAAGTTAAGCCACTTTCGTAATGGTCGGTTATTGGATGGGTGACCAAAAATTTACTATCTCTCACCTTCCGTGCTTCGGAAGGCACGTTAAGCCGTTGGTCCCGGCTGCATCTGCAGTCGTTAGCACCCGCCAATCCGGACTGGGCCCGCGTGGTGGGTCATGGCCCAATCTCCCCATTCCATCCATAGGGAAGGTCTGTGCCCCAGCAGTGGGGACTTTAATAGGCTGATGATGATGTGTACTCTATGTGGAACCATAAGACTCAATAATAAATTGAACTATGAATATTGGTGTCCATTCTGACATGATTTTCTAAATCTAAACTTAAATTTGACAACAGTGTATCATTGTCATTCTCTATACAGAGTGAAAAGGAGAGACTGATGTTAAATTTAGTTTTGAGTTTATGCTACAAAATTTAAGACGAAGAATGACTTCATTAAGCATCATTGTTGAAAATAAAGATCGTGCTGGGCCCTTGAAAATAAATTTACTGACAATCAATTTTAACTTACTTGAGGATTAATGAGGCGCACCTAGACAATTGGAATAGTGTTAATGCAAACTAAATGAAATCAAGGTGTACTGTATGTTTAGTGTTATGAGTGACAAGTAGAACCTAAGTCCGGTGTGGTGTTCCAAGGCGAGCTTGAGTGCTCCAACCTTGGGTCCAGTACGCTGTCCGCAAAGCTCCTCCAATTAGCACTGCACAACTCCTTTTGCCCACAGTGAATCAAACAAAACTACTTGAACGCACTGCCGATCGCGTAATTTAAATACCGAGAAACAAAATTCAAGATGCAAATTCCGTTGCAAAAAAACCCGGCCCGAGCACCACGCCGTTCAGCGGCTAGCCTAAGTATCTAGACAAAACGACCGCGCGTTCGCCGTGAGAGTTTTTCCAGACTACCCTATTTTAGCCCGTTTTAGACTAAACAATCATCATATGTATATTTATGTGTATATATATATATTTAAATGTAATTGTGGTATGTATGTATCTATGTTAATTCGTATATATTTTTAATTATGCGTTTATTTAGCTTTATACCACCATTCGCGTTTTTTGCTTTTTTCCCAAAGGTTGACTGGGAGAGAATGTTATTAGTATTAAGTCCTCCTTTTGTACCATTCTCTTGTATTTCGGTCAATAAAGTTTAAATGATGCGTGTTATTGACCATGAAAGTTTTAAAATGTACTATTTTGTTTCAGTCATGTATATATTTGGTGAAGAAAAACTGAAAGACGCTGTCCATCTGTCCGTACACAGTTTGAGCCACGAGTGTATAAATAAGGACCTAGGGTTCCGTCTCCTGGATGTGTTCGCGGTACATTTCAAACGCGCCGCCGCCATACGGAACCCATCCTTCGACGCCAACTGATCTCATTTACGTTAAATAGCAACGATATTAAATACCCTAGATACACCACGAGCGCTCATAAAGTGTCCTAAACAAGAAGTGCTTGAACTCCACTCAAGCGCTTCTTGGTTCACAGTCACGCGCGGACCGTTACAAAGTCAAGATGCAACAGAGCTCCGCGAAAAAATGCAAAAATAATACTTAGAGTACGAAAGGTGTCGTTTTTTCGACAGGTATCTAGTCAAAGTTTGTTAATTTAACGCATTTGAAGCAAAATTTGATGTAATACTTACTATAAACAGATTTACTATAAAATATATGTGATATTCAAATGCATGTTCGGTTATACGTCGCCATATATATAGTCGTCTCTTTTCCTCGCGATATTGCTAACAGCTCGTTCAGAATTGCGCGTAGAGTCAAAGAACTAAGGTGCAAATTCTTCCGCATATATCAATAACTCGTAAAATTTTACGAGCTTGCATTTCGAACTGTCAGAAGTCCTTGACGCATGCGTTTTATTTAATACCTTATACAGTATGTAGTAAAGGTTACTTTCAATATTTAAATAATGCCTTATATTGATTTTGACTACGCGATCATCTTAAGGAGCTCCGTGGGTCGTTCAATGTACCTTTTGGACAGGTTTCGGCCACGATTTTGTTCGTGTTGGTGTATCTAGGGTATTTAATATCGTTGTTAAATAGTCTAAGATTATGGAAGACCTTGTTAATAAGATATATTAATATAAGAACATATAAAAGTTAGGGAAAGTGAACCTTCCTTATTCTGTTTTGAAAGCTTTAAGTGTGCCGCTCATAGGCAAGTTATTTCCTAATAAAGTTTATTTTTTTAAGCATGTAACTGCTCGATGTATAAATCTAAAAAAAATATTACTAGAAAAAATTCCACGCGGGCCAAGCGGTAGACGGAACTCGAACCAGCACCCTTCGCTATCCGGCCGAATGCACTGACCAATTATGCCACCGCGGCCCTGATGGCCGTGTCGAATTTCCTCTAGCCTTTCTTAAGCTGCAAGGCAGCGCCATCTCTTCGCATTGTAGTTAACCCAGTCAAGTTATTATCTGTCGATAATGGTGTCGATTGAGGAGCTCGATGGCGTAGGTGGTTAGCGCGTTCGGTTGCGATCGATGAAGCTAAGCAACTTTCGCAGTGGTCGCTCATTGGATGGGTGACCAAAAGTCTTCTGTTTCGAGTTCCTCCGTGCTTCGGAAGGCATGTTAAGCCGTTGGTCCCGGATAAGCAGTCGTTAGCACCCGCCAATCCGCACTGGGCCCGCGTGGTGGGTCTTGGCCCAATCTCCATATTCCATCCATGGGGAACTACTCCAGCAGTGGAGACATTAATAAGATAATGATCATGAACGGTGTCGATTCAGGCAGGGTTCTCGAAACCATACCTTACAGAATGAAAAGGAGAGACTGATGTTAAATTTAGTATTAAATTTGGCAAAATCATGCACGAATCGACTCAATTATGGGATACTTATAATGAGCTATTTCGTCATATTTCTATTACTTCCTTAAGCCAGAAACATATTAACGTGTCGTGGCGTGACGTGGCGCATCGGTTTCATACATTTATTATGGGTTAGAGAGAGATAGAGAGGTTAAAGCGTCGACACGACACGATACGTAAATAAGTCTCTAACCATAGTAAATGTATGAAACCGATGTGCTTCTGGCGCGCCTTTTTTTTGACAATTGATGAGATGGAAAATCAAAGTTCTAATACATTATGTTACAACAAAAACATATTTCTGATGTCGTAGTAATTAATTTGATCTAATTTATTGAACAATATTGAGAGATTGAGGCGTTTGTAGTTGTGCATATTATCGTTTTTTCCGTAAACTAGCTGCAGTAGAACGATCAAGACAAAAAATGGAAAATATTACTTGCAAATATTCTACATTATCTTACAATAGGAAGAATAAATCTACTGTTTACTTCTATTGGAAATAGTCAAAATCTTTTCTAAGGGGGTAAACGAGGCGCTCAAAAATTACGATTTTTTTCCATAAATGTGAAAGGGCTCTTAAGTTTAGGTTTCAATCAATTCAATCATGCCAGAATCTATACCAGTGTAACTTCGTAGCGGTTCTCCTCATAGAGGTATAAGAATAGAGTGGGGAAGGCGGCTCTAAAAGTGTCCGTCTAGTAGAAAGAGAAAGAAGATGAGAGATCGCTAGCTATCTCTCTTTCTAGTGACGCATGTCATCCAATAGCATCACATCGAAATAGTAAGATGCTCACGGTTGCGAATGCGCATGCGCGATTAGAGAGAGAAAGCTGGCGGTCTCTCATCTTCTTTCTCTTTCTATTAGAGGGACACTTCCAATAAAGAAGTATACGCAAAGCTACAGGTGGCGCTGCAAACGCACAGCTTGATCTATATTGCAGCTGTCAAATTTATTTTAAACGTGTTTTTTTGTTGTTAAAAATAATATTTAAGTGGTAAAAGTGTATTCAACATGGTCTGTAATACAGCTGAAAACGGAGTTGAAAAGGAGAGGAGCATCTGTGCAAGGCAGAAAAGCTGATCTAGTAGAAAGGCACTCCTTCTATTATTATGTTAGAATACTCATTCTCAAAACATAGATGCATTTTTCGTGATTATTTTAATAGTTCATGTATCGCAGTAACTTTTAGCGGGCTCATTAGTCAAATCTATCTTATTTTTGCAACAGTCAGACATCACATAGAGTTACCTCTGGCTAAAATGGGAAGTAAAACATTGGATTTTTACAGACTTGAGGAATAAGTATGACCGCAATTTTAATTTTGGTGCATTTTTTTTTGATAAAAATGAAGACATCGAGATGCAACAGTCCCAGATGGTGTAAACAGCAGCTCAGTTTTACCCCCCCCCCCCCCCCACCCCCTTCTTTCAAAGCAACATATAAAATTATATTTAAGTCGGGAAGCATGCAGTTTTCTCACAACAACCAGGAATTTCACAACGCGGCATTTGTAATTTGTTTAATAAAAAGCTTCAAAATTATTATAAGCTAAGTATTTGATAGAAGTTTTGGGTCAAGCGATTACAGCGCCCCTAGTGGGAAAATTTTGCAGATTTCTTGTCCATTGTGGTAGAGTCTATTCTTATACCTCTATGGTTCTCATACATAATGTGCTAAATACAGATAACGGAATAACGGATCCAATATTAACGCGCCTATGGGGACAAGCCTTTATTTAACTTGCAATGTATGTATGTATTTGTGTCAAATCTTGCCACTGAATTTCAAACCAGTTTTCACAGTGAAATTAAATTTATTATTATAAATAACATACCAAAGTCTTACCACATTAGCTGTTATTGCGTAGCTTTTAAGGAATGGTTGCGATATAGTTGTCTTTAACGATTAGGAGAGTACTTACTTAAATTGTAAAAAAGAATACTCATATAATTATATAAATGTTATTAAATAAAAATACAATTTCCATACACCATCCAAAAGTTTTATTTTCTAAATTAAATATAAAAAAACACATTAGATATCACAGAGTTCGCGTCACGACTCAATTATATTCACATATTTAGGTCATTATTTATAATATTACTTCTGAGCACACTTATATTAACATTTAGGTCCTCGTATAACATTTTTTCTGGGAACTTGTCTTATTTATCAGGCAAAGGCCTGGCAAGGTCCTGTGCGCTTAAGCGACTTATCGACTTATGTACCTGTATTTACTTATTTTAAATAGTAAGTAATTCGTATAATTATAAGTCAAATGGCCACAGTATACAAAGCGGTCAAAAGCACGACATGTATCAAATTACAATTATTATACTTAATATTAAATTCTATTTCGTATATTATTAAAATCTTATCGATATTATACAATAGGTAGATTGGACCTAGACTAGGGCTGCCACGCGGGTATACACTTCCGGACACATCTATGGCCCACCTAGCATTATCAGTTTTGACGGTCCCTAGCTAAAAATAAAGGACAATGGCGAACTCCCAAACAAATTTTTGTTGAAATTTTTTTTTGCGTCTTTAAATGAATTGCATCTTAAATAATAGAGTTTAGATTCTCGGTTTCATTCGTCTTATTTCTATTATTATAGGAAGTTTGTATTTATAGATATTCAACTTTGAAGTTTTGGAGGTTATGTATACTTATACCAAGTAATACAAAAACCAATTATTAAAGTATTTACAATAAAAATAAAAAATACGTGAACGGAACTATAAAAGTATACGGTTCCCGTAGATTAGTGACGAAAAAAAATGTTTTTAAAATGTATGATCAGTGGGCGTGTAGGTACTTACTGATCAATCGCGTCAAAATACTTAATAATATTAAACAGACCAGGGTTATTTAGTTCGAATACAATGTCTGTGCTGTAGGAAGTACTTAACAATTTGAAAATGACCACAGCAATAATAAAGTATAAAAAAGGATTTCTAATAGTGTACTGATGGGATGTTAATTAAATATGAAACACTCTTTTATATATTTTTTATTCCATATCTTTGATCACAGTATCGTAGATAGTAGATACAATGAAATAAAATCCACAGTATAGGACGGAATCGTGTCCAAAATCCACAGCAAGAAGTAGTCCGAAATATCAGATTCGGAAGTCTTAGGCAAGCACTACTCAACAGTCACAGGAAAGATTTCGAGAGTCCAAATGCAGTCCAAGTCGCATAAAAACACAAATCACAAAAAAAAATCACTGCGCCAAATTAAATCGTTGCAATACGCATATCACCTAAAGCACAAGCAACGATAAATGTTAGCAATATCAACAACAATTCGATCGATGACAAGCATGACAGTGAGAGATATAGTTTTTTGCGTTAGAATTGTCGCCATACCCTTTTTGTATTGAGGAGATTATTTATTATGGTTTCAGTATAATATTGAAAAATAATGTTTCCCGATATTTTTGATTGATAATTAAATACACTTTAAGCGTAAAGCGATGTAAAACATACGAACAACATATTTAAAGTTGATTTTATCACTAAAATCACAAAAAAATAAATGGCTCAAAATCCAGGATGCCAAGCCACAATAAAAATAAAAAATAAATAGTCAATTGTGTTTTCCTTTTAAATTTTGAATTTTTTAATTCCACACTTAGACAACCATCCTGAATTGTTTAATAAATCTTTTGAGATTATTTTATTAACATTTCTGATAATGACATCATGACAGACGCTAAAGATTTACTTCAACAAAATTTTCGCCATTGTCCAAGAGTTATTAGTTATGGTTTCCTTTTTAAGCATTTAACTGCTAGATGTTTATATCTAAAGAAAAGTTTTATAATAATAATAATAAGTAAATTTTGTACCTACATATTATTTAAATGGATAGTTTTAATTTGGTTTTTTTAACTGTTGACTTTTTAACTGATTAGACGAGTTTTGTGTTGGTTTTCATAATGTCGTCAATTAATTGATTGAATTCGTTAGCTAATAAAACCAAATCTTAACACAAACTAGTGAATTGGCTAAGTTAGGCACATCTGAAATCGGATATCTAAAAACTGATTTTGAAATCTGAAATCCGATAAATATCCGTTTGCGTTCAAAACCAAAAACGGCCGCCCATGTCTACAAAACTATATAACTATGCTCGCCGTGAGCGGAGGAAAACAGAATACCCACCTAAATCAGCGAGGAAATTCAATTTCGAGTAAAATTCAAAATCGATTAAAAAACAACGGCCGATTGAGAACTCAAATCGATATGGGAAAAAATATTCAAAATTCAACAACTGTCAAACTCCATACCATACATTCATCCACACGCACCAACAGAGATTCACTGCCTTCTTTAACCTTCTTTTTTTTATAAGTCTCAAGGCGAATATTTTAGTCGAATACCAACCCAATCAATGAAGTTTGACAGCTACGCCGACGTAAGCGGTTCGCTATCATAGACAAAACAGCTGTCCTACGCGTGTCAGTTATTCAAGTGTCAGTGTCACGCCCTGTTTAAAAACAAACACTACACTACGTTAATACAGTTTTCAAGCATAAATTACAATAACTATGTTTTCGTGTGTGTTTTAAAATGATTGCTTAACGATAAAGTTATATAAGTTTTTATGGTTAAGCAATATTTTTTTGCT